TGACATGCTGAAGTACACCAAACAACTTGCACCAAAAAGATGAACAGTAAACACCAAAATTAAAACAGGTGGGCCACTTCATTCAATGGATTTTATATCTTTTGGTAATTTAACGCAGACAACAGCCCTAGAATATTATCTGTTCAGGACGTTTTTGTTGTTTCCTTTCCTTCTTTTCCTTTTTCTAAATGAGCTATTCGATAAATCATAATAATAATAATAAAATTTAAAAATTTTTTATTTACATGATTTAAAATTCAAACTTAAAATATTTTTATGTAAAATTTTTACATTTTTACGGATTAAAACACAGTAATTTCTTGTTAATTAATAGAATATTTATCTTTTTTACATAAATATGTTAATATTAGAATATTTATCGTTTTTAAATAAATTTGGTACACAATCTTTCCAAATTAATGAACCACGTCAAAATCTAAAGTACTTATGTAATTAATTAACCATTGAGATCTGATAATGTAAGGAATCACAAGGTTTCTTTGCCTATTCATGAACTTGTTAATTAATAAAGGGACCCCTATTCCGTAAGTAACTATCAAATTGCCATCTTCAGTCTTCAACTTGTTCCACTAACTAGTGATGTCTCAGTCTTACTATCATTCAAAATGAATGATAGGAAACGTACTTATATATGGTTCAATGGATTATAGTACTTACGATGGGGTGTACATGAAGTATTTGAGAGGAGGGAAAATGGTGAAGATCCACTTAGGGATGAGCTCGAAGTTGCAGTGTCCCATGTTGTTCATCAAGTCAATGTAAGTGATGTAACCAGCATAAGCTGCTATGGAGGCAGTTCTGGTGAACAAAACCGTCAGGAGCGGTATTGAGAAGAGAGCGAAGTATGCTATGTGCTCTGCAAACGGATGAATAACGGCTGCCATTTATAGAAAAAAACCAAAAAAAAAAAAAATCATTCCTTTTTCTTGTTTTTTTTTTCTCACACTCCATAGGAGAATTACGTAGAACAGTTTGAGGACATTTTGCATACATGTGATGGGTTCAGTCGCAATGGAGGAATGATGATGAGAATGGTAGCGATTGTAAAGATAATGGTGGTGAAGTGCTCGATGAAGCCAGTAGTAGAGGAACTCTACCGGTCCGGCATGTAACAGCGCCGTTAAAATCACGCCGTCGGTTCTCCAAAGAGGAAAGTGAGAACCTCCGGGAAGAACCTTGTTAAAAAAGTAGAACAGCATTGCATTAAACAGTATCTGATCATCCCTGAAAAACAAAAACAACCCATCTCAGAAACAGACAAAACACAAAGATAGCATCCAACTAAAAATAGACAAAACTAGTCTATTTTATATTTAATTCATGTATTTTTTTATTAATTTATCGATTCTCAAAATTTCTTGAGATAACGGAGTCTTTCTTAACCAATTTCTTTCTCGGTCGACTTGGTCGAACTCAATGGGCTTATCGACGATCCTGTTGTTGCCCTTTGCAGTACGGTAACGAGAAAGGCTGATCCATATCTGGTTATGAAGCATTCTCCATAGCATAAATGGAAAAATGAGGAAGTTGGAAAGATCCCTCTCATTTTCACCCTTGTATATGAAGGAATACGTGCTTTCTATAACCCAAGGTGCCAAGATTATGTGCTGCAAAAAAATAAAAATAAAAAAAATGGTGAAAACAGAGCGCGCATGAACATAAATGCAAGCTGCAATTAATATCTACAAAAAGATGAGAACTTCTCTTTATACAAGTGAAAAAATAGAGAAATGGAAGCGAAAGTTGAGACCTTGAAGCTCCCAAGGGGTGTCCATGGCCACTCAGTGAGGATTCCAGGGGTAGAAGCCATGTTTGATCTTTCATTAGAGGGGAGCTAATTAAGCTCTTATATAGTAGTAATGTTGCCTACGTCATTCC